GATTTGCCTGCTTTGATGGACCAACTTGGTCCCTGTACAAATGTCTTTCTGACTGCTTATGCTCATGTAAGGACCGAGCCTCAGAGCAACATCGGCCAAACGCGAGGAAAAAAAAAAAGTGACTGCATTGCCTAGCCACTGAGCCGCTCCCCACAATGGGGAGGGGCACAAAGACACCTGGCCGCCAATGTCATCTTCCTCCTGCCATTGCTTCGCCGGTGGTACTTGCTCTTAGTCTGAATTTGGGCACGTGAACAAGTACTCGTGAGAGGACTCTGAGAGGCTGAGTTAGGTGACAACTATAGCAATTGCGACGTTTAGTTGTCTTCGTGGCAACTGTTTAGATCGTGTGTCTCACCTTTCTGGGTGGCAACTAATTCGTTTGCTGCAAGTTTTTGAGTTTATGCGACACAGTGGGTTTTTGCCACTGTGTCTTGGCAAATCTTTTGTGGTTGTTTCTGTTGGGCTCTTGCCCCTTTCGCTGTTTGCTTTGCTGTCTTCTTGATGGTAAGCCGCAAATCTGGCCTGGGGGATCTGCGTCTTGCCTTGTGCTTTTGGTGGTTTGTGTTTTGGTTTTTATGATTTGCCAAGCTGCATGCGACCACCTGTGTCCATGTAGAAGTTTTCTTAATAATAGCTTCTTCTCATGTAAGGACCGAGCCTTAGAGCGTGATCGGCCGTACCAGAGAAAAAAAAAGCAGCTGCTGCAAGGAAAGCAAAGCGGCGGCCTTGCTTCTGGTGCCTCTCGACAGCTTCGTCAGCTGGAGCACAGCTGTCGTCATAGGGTCTGCACCACCAGATCCTAAGCGATTGCCTCCCTCGGGCGCTAGAACATCCTCCTCCTCGTCTCGAAACTTCTGCCAGAGCCAATCTGCACACTGATGCACTTGAAGTGATTTGCAACAGCGAATACCAACGTAGGAGACCTACGACTGGTATCACGGTAGCCCTCTTTTGCACCAGCTGTCGCACTCACACAGCCTACCCCGACAGCATATCCGTCATGGAGAAAGCTGCGCTGCACCGCATGGCCACATCAATTGCCCAACTCACATTGTGCCAGGTTGCAAGTGAAGAAATCGAAACTGCCACCAAACTTCTTGAGAAAGCAGGCCAGAAACTCCGTGGCATTTCAGACGTCCCGACTCAACGGATTGCTGACCTTGACAATGCCACGCGACAACTCCGCCAACTGAGTTGCATCTTGGACAGCTGCACAATCTCAACCAGCTACGAAGTCAGTCAAGCACAGAAAGCGCTTTTGCTTCTGCCACGTGAAAAAGGATCTAGTACGTCTTCGGATGAACGATACGAAGAGCATTATGCGAACCTTCCGAGTCTTCCCCACGAAGACTACTGGCTTGAATACTAGATACTCATTCGAAGCTGATGATAGGCAAAGCACACGTGAGCGGACTCTGAGTGGCCCCTGACCGCCTGTAGCTCTTGATGTTTCACCGTAGATCCTATTTCATTTATGTCTCACTACCTCTATTTCCTCTTTCCGATGTGCCATATGACTGTGTCATCACCGGCTTTGGGATCATATCTAACAATCTGTGAGAATGTTGCCCGTGCGGCTGCACTTTGTGATCTCGAGGCTCCTGACTGGGGGGACCCTTGGTTTCCGCATTGTGCTTTTGTTGATCCTGGCTCACAGATTTCTGTATGGCATAGTTGTGGTCTTTCTGTTTTTGTTGTTTGTTTTACCTCTTGGCATAGATACAAAGCTATCATCTTTCTTGTACATTGCAAGGACTATGAACTGATCAGCTGACCACCAGCCGTGCTGTCTTGTTTTTTGTTGTTTTGTTTGTTGTTTGTTCTTGTGCGCTTTGTTTTGTTTTGTTTTCGCTGTCTGCTTTCACGTTTTTGCTGACTGTAGGGAAGCTCTGGAAATTTTGGGGCTTAACTCTGTCACTAACTTTGAACACCCCAATGAACTCATTGGATGACTAACATAGCTGTCCTGTGATGGAAAGGGGGTTGGAGAAACAGTCCAGCTGGAAAACATTTCCCATTTGAAATCCAATATCAAACAGAAATGCTGCCAGAATGGACTTTAACTCAACAGATGTCAAAACCCCTTTTTGGTCACCGCGAGAAATCGAATCTTGCCCCAGACCAATGCGAAATAGTCGCAGGAAAAGCTTTCAGTTGTCCGCTCAGTGCATTCAGCATGTTTTCAACATTTCCGATTTTTCACTCAGTGTGCTGCAGTTTGTTTTTATGTGATGTTTACTGAGCTGTTTAATGTTGATGTGTTGATGTATGCATGTGTTTCATGTTTTTGGTTTGGCGACGTATATCGATTATAGTTTGGCGTTTGCGACGTTGTTTACGTAATACGTGCGAGCTTGGCAGGTGCAGTATATTACAGACTTTGGCTTTAGTATAGGAGAAGGATATTTCAGCTTGCTGACAATACTTTCTCTCTAACTTGCCAAACAGGTCTAGCCTTTCTAGACCGGTCTGTATATATTACTGCGTGTATATAATCGTTGCTCGTATGCGTAAACGTGAACAACCTTGCGTCGAAACTAAATCGTGAAAACACACTTCAAACCAAAACCAACACCTGCACTAAACACATCTGAAACCCAAACAACTCTGTGATGTTGTTTTTGAATTTTTATACCTGGCAAAGAAATCATTACCAGATTGATCATTTATGAATTTTATGTTCGTGTGGCCATCCCTGCTGAAGGGTGTGGTGGGCGGGTTCGTCCGAAACTTTGCAATGGACATTTTTCAGTCCCACCCAATTCCTTTTACCCACCCAGAAATGCCCATAGCACGGGGGGGTTGGAGAAACAGTCCAGCTGGAAAACCTTTCCCATTTGAAATCCAATATCAAACAGAAATGCTGCCAGAATGGACTTTAACTCAACAGATGTCAAAACCCCTTTTTGGTCACCGCGAGAAATCGAATCTTGCCCCAGACCAATGCGAAATAGTCGCAGGAAAAGCTTTCAGTTGTCCGCTCAGTGCATTCAGCATGTTTTCAACATTTCCGATTTTTCACTCAGTGTGCTGCAGTTTGTTTTTATGTGATGTTTACTGAACTGTTTAATGTTGATGTGTTGATGTATGCATGTGTTTCATGTTTTTGGTTTGGCGACGTATATCGATTATAGTTTGGCGTTTGCGACGTTGTTTACGTAATACGTGCGAGCTTGGCAGGTGCAGTATATTACAGACTTTGGCTTTAGTATAGGAGAAGTACCTGCATTTTTTCGTTGCAATTTTGACTGACATGGCACGCGGCCAAGCCTAGAACCGCACAGCTGTATTTTCACTTCACGGTTGTCGCAATCTGGTACTTAATTTCTGTTATCAACATGGCGATCCTTATTTTTTGTATCTGCACGTTACAGGATTCAGTTCCTGCCGGATCATATAATGATCCATTCTTATCTAGTGTGTGTGTATGTATGTGCATGCACAGGTGAGTGAATGAGAATGTGAGTGAGTGAGTGAGCGAGTGAGCAAGGGAAGAGGAAGTATGATAGTGATGGAAGGGCGATGGTGGGTGAGTTTATGTGTATGTATGTATGTATGTATGTATGTATGTATGTATGTATGTATGTATGTATGTATGTATGTATGTATGTATGTATGTATGTATGTATGTATGTATGCATATGATGTATGTGTGTGGTGTGTGTGTGTGAGTGAGTTTATGTGTGTGTGTGCGATGTATGTGTGAATGATGTATGTTTGTGACGTGCTGTGTTCATGTTGTGCGTGCCTGTGGACATAAGGGAGTATGTGGGTGTAGGTGTTCATGCAAGCGTGTACGTGAGTGCATGGTTGTCGTTCTCGAAGTGGCATAGACCAGCATCATGACCTCAGGAGACGCAGCATGCAAAAACAAGCCATGATAAACTCACAAGCAATCAATCTGAATGAGCTGAGTTGATAAATCGCCATGCCTTGCTTCTGAACAGCCATGATATTTTTTGTCTTGTCAGCGAAGTCGACAGGTCGCGTTAAAGTTGCACAAAACTGGAGAAAATTTAGCAGGCAAACCCGAGAAATTTCTTTGTGAGCTGCCAAGTTGCCCCAATCACGCGGAGCAAGGAAAATCAGCAAGACGCTTCAAGTCCAGTTTCCGACTTACTGCTGCGGAGCAAACAAAAGCTCACATCTCTTCGTTGGATCGGGTGGCTGCGACTTGGCATGATTGCGCAAGCATGCGGAGCTAGGAAAATCAGCAAGACGCTTCAAGACCAGTCTCCGACTGACTGCTGCGGAGCAAACATAAGTTCACATCGGTTCGTCCAATTCGATGGAGACCAAGGGACACCGGAGGGACGCCGGAGGGACGCCGGAGGGACGCCGGAGGGACGCCGGAGGGACGCCAGGACGTACATCCGACCCCTTGGCAGTGCACATTGTCCCACGCCTGCCACGCAAAAGCGGCGGAGACCAAGGGACGCCGGAGGGACGCCGGAGGGACGGAGGGACGCCGGAGGGACGCCGGAGGGACGCCAGGGCGTACATCCGACCCCTTGGCAGTGCACATTGTCTCACGCCTGCCACGCAAACGCGGCGGAAACCAAGGGACGCGCTCTTCAAAGAAGATGATTGCCTTATTTCAAACTAACACAAAATTGTTGGAAGGTATTTTCAACAATTAGTGCATGCAAACTTTTCTTTTTCTAAGAGTCTAATTGCGTAAACTTCCAATGCAATTGTTCTGTACTCTTAGTATTCTGAAACGGAAACTGTATGTTTCTTTTGTGATTTTTAAACATCTCAAACTGTGCATTCATGCTGCACTTCATTTCGGAGCATTCACTCAGATCTATGTTGCCTCGTGACATTTTGTCTCAAGTGGTGGGATGGGTGGGCACCTCAAGCATTTTGTTGAGGAATCATTGGTATTCTGGATGTGTATTTGACCAAGTTTGACCTCTCGATCTTTGGAACTGCTTATTTCGACCGCAAGAGTCTATTATCCTGTTGTATCTGGACTGTGGAAGAATTTTCCGAGCATGAGCAGCTTTGACGGAGTCTTCCAGAGAGCTCTTGCATGCAGTTCAGTCACCAATGAATTGAAACTTCCCCGGGAAAAAGGATTCTGGAAAAAATTCTTTGATCAGGATGCATCCCAACAGAAGTATTCTATTCCTATGCCTCCTCTTTTGGACTCGGTGTCATCAACTGACAGGGATCCTAAGCGCCAGAAGTTTGAACAGAAAGCAATTGCTGAGACGTGGAGGCATTGCGTCAAAGCAGATGCTGAGCTCAGCTGGACGGACAAGAGGGAGGCAGATTTTCAAAGTGCTTTGAAACGTTGGTTACAAACTTTGCTGGAGATGCCTAAGACCTTCAAGGTTGTGGAATTGTTGCCTCAGCAGAGTACAGTGGAGCGACAGTTGCGGATGTTGAGGGATCTTTTCTGGAAGAAGTCTCCACAAACATTGAAAAAGAGTGTTCACTCTTTACTGAGATTCATGGCCTTTTTGAACGAATCCTTAGAACCATTCCCGGGCACAGAACCTTTGCTCTATGAGTTCTTGCAAAACGAAAAGGATTCTGGATCACCTACTTCTCGCTTGCAGAGTGTAATGCAAGCCTTATCCTTTCTTGAACATGTCCTGGATGTGGAAGAGGTAAGCACTCTGACAAGATCGAAGCGATGTATGGGTGCTTCAAGCAAGCTTTCAAATGGTCCAACAAGGCAAGCAGATCCTTTTCTGGTGGAACATGTGGTAGCATTCCATGGAGTTTTGGCAGATTGGGATTCGGATCCTTGGGACAGATTTTTTGCTGGATCTCTATTGGCTATGATCTATTCTCGCAGTCGATGGAACGATCTTCAACAAGCAGAAGCTGTTCTGTCACGCATCATGGAAACCAATCAGGCAGGGCAAGAGGGTACAATTTCCCACTGCAGAAGAGGCGAAATATCCATTTATTCTATGCAAACGAGTTGCTTTCATCCTGAAGCAGGAGGCGGCAGCAAGAGGCTTTCATTTCCCAGAAGACTTGCAGCAACAAGTACAAGTGGACGACGACGTGGGAAAGAGACGGCTTTTTGCCTCTCAACCATGTTCTCGTAAGCTGAAACCATTGGTATCTGAATTCATGGGATACACTACACTGGTTTGCAACGTGTCAGACTCTACCGCATTGCCAAGTTTCCTGGACAAAATGCCAAAAGGAGCCAGAGTTTGTCATCGCCAAGTTGAATGGGGGGTTTTGTCGGGCCGATGCAAACGAGAGATTTTCCAGCTTTGAATGTGCATCAGACTGGGAGGACCACGCAGTTTGTGAAATCATTCATGTGGGCATCCCAAGGGCACCAGAGGACTTCCTACGTGCAGCGGTTTCCAAGGGACACCCGAGAAACTTGATCGCCAGAGTTCCAGAAGCAGTCCGAGAAGCAATTGAGAACCTGCTTCATCAACCCCTTCGCGTGCGTTTGAAGAAGCGGACTCAGTTCTTCAAGAAGTGGCTGAAAAGGTCCCTTGAACTTCGCTCCCAGGAGGAAGAGTTACGAGAACAAATGCCGCCTCATTTGAGGCGAGTTTTGAAAGGAAAGAGACTGCTTTTGTGGGAAGAAATTTTGGTCGACCTGAAGTACAAAGACGCTGGTATTATTGATGACGTCATCAAGGGATTCAGTTTGACTGGCTGGGCACCCAAAACCGGAGTTTTTGAACCGTGGGTTAGAAAGCCAGAATACTCGATCGAACATTTGCTGAAGCTATCCCCTGCCTTGAATGCAGCAGTCACAGGTTCCTTGACTTCTGCAACTGAAGTGGAGCGCGACCAGTTTGTCTGGGGAAGAAACCCAGAAGGAGGTTGAGCAGGGCTGGCTTTACCCAACAGACCACAGCAAACCGGAGTGCATTGCAAAGAGATTCCCTCTGCAGCAAGCCAACAAAGTGAGGTTGATCGACGACTTCTCCATCAATGGGGTCAACGCAGCTTATGGCCTGAGAGAAAAGTTGAGGGGTGCAATCCATCGATGAACTGTGCTCTTATTTGGCTTACATTTTGGACCATTGCGATGATCCCGCAGCTTTGGAGTTGGTCGGAAGAACGTTCGACCTCAAACAGGCTTACAGACAATTTGGGGTAGACCCCTACCATCATGAACTCTTGAAGATAGCAGTGCGGAAACCGGGCGGGTCCTACCAACTGTTCAGAGTTGGGGCCCTACCGTTTGGGGCAGTTGGAAGCGTTACAGCATTCCTGCGTATTTCCAATTGCATTTCCTTCATTGCCTCGAAGGCTCTTGACATAGTGCTCACTGCCTTCTTTGATGACTTTACAGTGGTTTGCAGAAAGTCGGAAACTACGAGTGCCACCTTTTGCATGGAAGAGCTATTCAGAATGCTTGGAATTTGGTTCGCAGATTCGGGAGACAAAGCCCCTCCTTTCAATAGCGTTTTCAAAACCCTTGGTCTTCTGATTTCCTTCGAGCATTTGGAGGCCGGCTTCTTTCAACTGGAGCATACTGAGTCCCGCAGGAATGAAGTAGTGCAAACCTTGGAGACTCTAGTTGGTCAAGATCGATGTACCACTAAAGAGCTGGAGCGTTTACACGGCCGTCTTGTTTGGTTGAATTCTTTTTGTTTCGGGAGAACGTTGAATATGCTCATTCGCTACCTATCGGGTTTTGCACACACAGCTTCAAGAATGATAGCTGTGGAGGGACTTTTACTTCGAACCCTAGAAGACCTGAAAGGTCAACTGGCTACTGTAAAACCTGTGCAGGTTCACCGAGACATCAAACTTGGATCATTTTTACAGACGGTTCTTTTGAACCCTCCAGTCCAAACCCTGCCGCAGTGGGAGCGGTGTTGGTCTCTCCTTCAGGCATCGTCTCTGAGTTTTTCGGAGAGTGGGTTCAAAAGCAAGTAGTGGACCAACTACTGATTTTCTCGGATCACCCGATCTACGAACTCGAAATACTGCCATTTTTTTTGGCTGCCACTGTATGGGGGCAATACATAGCCAACTCTTTGGTGATGGTGTTCCTGGACAATGATCAGCCAGAAGTGCCTATATCCAAGGGACTGCCGCAACAGAGGCAGGTCGCACGTTTCTGAAGCAGTTTACAGCGATAGAAGCCGAACACAATTTTTCCCGTGGTTCGGAAGAGTTCCGACGGCAAGCAATCCAGCCGACCCTCCTTCACGGATGTCTTGTACTGATGCAATTTTGAAAACAGGACGACGGATCAGAATCAGCCTCCCAGCACACTTGGAGAATGTGGGGTTGGCCTCCAGTGAGCTGGAAAGCTTTGATCCAGCCAATTGAGACTTGTACCCCAAAGCTTCGCTGAAAAAAGATTCGTTGTCCTGTAGCAGTCGTTGTTCGATTTCACGTTTCAATTTTTCGAGACACGGCGTTTACGTTTTCAGCAGGGTATCTAGATTTTATAATACTCCTGTCTGGGTATCTAGATTTCATAGATCCCTGTGCTATGTTGTTTGTGTGCACGGTTTGTTAAGCTAGAAATAAGCTAGCGCTCTTCAAAGAAGATGATTGCCTTATTTCAAGCTAACACAAAATTGTTGGAAGGTATTTTCAACAATAAGTGCATGCAAACTTTTTTCTTTTTCTAAGAGTCTAATTGCGTAAACTTCCAATGCAATTGTTCTGTACTCTTAGTATTCTGAAACGGAAACTGTATGTTTCTTTTGTGATTTTTAAACATCTCAAACTGTGCATTCATGCTGCACTTCATTTCGGAGCATTCACTCAGATCTATGTTGCCTCGTGACATTTTGTCTCAAGTGGTGGGATGGGTGGGCACCTCAAGCATTTTGTTGAGGAATCATTGTTTTACCCGCCCCGTTAACACTCCCGCCCATTTGTATAGATCTATGCCTTGAGCTGGAAAGCTTTGATCCAGCCAATTGAGACTTGTACCCCAAAGCTTCGCTGAAAAAAGATTCGTTGTCCTGCAGCAGTCGTTGTTCGATTTCACGTTTCAATTTTTCGAGACACGGCGTTTACGTTTTCAGCAGGGTATCTAGATTTTATAATACTCCTGTCTGGGTATCTAGATTTCATAGATCCCTGTGCTATGTTGTTTGTGTGCACGGTTTGTTAAGCTAGAAATAAACCGGAGGGACGCCGGAGGGACGCCGGAGGGACGCCGGAGGGACGCCAGGGCGTACATCCGACCCCTTGACAGTGCACATTGCCCCACGCTTGCCACGCAAAAGCGGAGGAGACCAAGGGACACCTGAGAGACGCCGGAGGGACCCCTTGGCAGTGCACATTGTCCCACACCTGCCACGCAAAAGCGGCGGAGACCAAGGGACACCGGAGGGACGCCAGAGGGACGCCAGGGCGTGCATCCGACCCCCTGCCACTCCACATTGGCCCATGCCTGCCACGCAAAAGCGGCGGAGACCAAGGGACACCGGAGGGACGCCAGAGGGACGCCAGGGCGTACATCCGACCCCCTGGGAGTGCACATTGTCCCACGCCTGCCACGCAAAAGCGGCGGAGACCAAGGGACACCGGAGGGACGCCGGAGGGACGCCAGGGCGTACATCCGACCCCCTGGCACTTTACATTGTCCCACGCCTGCCACGCAAAAGCGGCGGAGACCAAGGGACACCGGAGGAACGCCAGAGGGACGCCAGGGCGTACATCCGACCCCCTGGGAGTGTACATTGCCCCACGCCTGTCACGCAAAAGCGGCGGAGACCAAGGGACACCGGAGGGACGCCAGAGGGACGCCAGGGCGTACATCCGACGCCCTGGCAGTGCACATTGTCCCACGCCTGCCACGCAAAAGCGGCGGCGGAGACCAAGGGACACCGGAGGGACGCCAGAGGGAGGCCAGGGCGTACATCCGACCCCTAGTGCACATTGTCCCATGCCTGCCACGTGAGTGAGTGAGTGAATGAGTGAGTGAGAGTGAGTGAGTGAGTGAGCGAGCGAGCGAGTGAGTGAGTGAGTGTGAAGGAGGAGGACGGGAAGGAGGAAGAGGCGCGGATACAGAACAAAAAACAAAAACCCCACACGTCAATGTGGGGAAAAAAACGTGAGAGTGTGATTCAGCAGAAGCCGTTTTTACTGTCAGTGTTTTAAGATGTCAAGAAACTCTTTCATTTACGGCATTGCACTTGGTTCAGTTTACGCGTATACATGTCTTGCGCTCGCGTGTAGGTAGCAGCCACAAGCATAGGAATAATCAGTGGCTGCAACAGCAACAAAGGCTTTGCAACTGCTGTAGCGCAACTTTTCACAGCACAGAACTCCAATAGAATGCACAGTCTGGACTTGGAAGAGTCCTGAGGAGTACATAGAAATGATATTAGGCAAAAACCTATATCAAGGCGGGGTGTTGTTCGCATGTGCAAACCCTGCAGAAACAGTACAGTTGATGTCAGTCATTTGCATCGACAGCACAAATCGAGAAGTGTCACTCAGCGTGTATCGTCAGGCGCTTTTTGGTTCCAGTAAAGTTTGCAGGAGGAAAACAAATATTTCCGCTTAAATGGCATGTTGTTGAATTTGGAAGTGGTTTCAAAGTAAACGTCAATTTCAGCGCTTACCTCCACGCAAAAACATAGCCTAGTCAGCTATGATGTGAACAAGGAAACCAATGCTGAGTATGTGAACCGTGGTAAAGTCAAAAATCAAAAGGTGTGAAAACATAGTTGGGGACCACATGTATGGTGAAGAAGAGGGGGCGGTGACCCAAGTTATCCGAATGAACAGGTTTGACGATTACATGCGATTGTCAACGTGCATATGCATTTGAAGCAGCGGCTGCTACCGTATCCACCTACCGTACCCACCACCCACCGTACCGTACCACCGTACCGTACCACCGTACCCAAGGTTGAAAAACTGGTGTGAAGAGGTCTCACTCCCGCTAGGGATTGTTCAAAAATTTCCGGTGAGTATTGACGCCTGCACCCTTTTTGTTTTCACCGATGGATCTTGGGAAAACGGTGTTGCAGGCACAGGTGCCGTGGTGATTGACGAATCTACTGGTCACACGGTAGTCATTCAAGATCGAGTGTGCCAAGATTTGCTTGAGTCGCGGACGGTTGGCATGACTTGGCCGCATTTAAACGACCCAGACAACCAATTCATGTTTTTAATCTCACATTGGTTCAAATGTTACACAAATGTTACACAAATATTGAAATCTATATTGAAATCTGTTCAGATATCAGTTTCTCATCTGTTCTATGGTGTACTTTGACAAGATGCGGTGAGTGGAGGTCTAAGCCATGGCGGCCATGCGGTGTGGCCGTGCTGTGCCGTTCGGCAGGCGTGCGGTGGCCATGACTGCCTTGTTTGCGGCTGCTGCGTTCGCCAGGCACGAGACAAAACTGTCACGAAAGTGTGGCAAAATTTCATAAATTTTTTCATTGTCTCCTGATGACATGTTCGTGTTTTGAAAATCATAAACAGTTTCATAAAACTATATACACATATATTTTTCATGAAATGCTTGCACTGAATGTAAACATGATCCGTGGAAATGAACATCGGTGGATGGACTGCAGACAAAATCTTCGTCGGTTCAATTGGCAGATTGGGGCCCTTGGGGACCCTTGGGGACCCTTGGGGACCCTTGGGGACCCTTGGGGACTGGATTTGGTTCCACTTGGTTTGGCAGGTGCTTTGCATTCACCGGGCCCCGGCCTTTGCCAACGTCGGTCCGGGACCCGGACCCAAATTCTGGACGAGTACCCATCAGATTCGCAAAGGTTCACATTCTGGAAGTTTCATCAGAATCACAAATTAGTCACAAAACACACATGATTTTACCAGTGTCACTTGCAAAATTTCAGTCCTGTTAGGATTCAATAGATGTCAGAT